AGTGGCCGCTTCCAGCCACCGCAGCCTCAACCTGCTGGGCTCCAGCAGGATCCTTCCGCCTCAGCCTTCCAAGTAGCTGGAACTACAGGCGCGTGCTGCCACGCCCGGCTAATTTTTTTGATTTATTGTAGAGATGAGGTCTCACCAAGTTGCCCAGGTGGTTCGTGAACCCGCGGGCTCAGGCAGTCCACTCATCTCAGCCTCCCAAAGGTGTGGGATTACCGGCTGAGCCACCGAGGCCGGCTAATCCACTCATTTTAGCCTCCCAAAGCACTGGGATTACAGGCTGAGCCACCTATCCTGGCTGATTGTGTCTCCTTTAGGAAATACTTCCCCACGAATTAGAGCCCGGGCTGAGCTGTCCAGTCTAGTCTTTCCCCCTTGAATCTTCTGAGTCCCTGGAGTGGGTGGCTGTGTGAAGCTGGCACCTGCTTGTCCACATGGACGTCAGTTAGTCCAGCACCGTTGATGGAATGCCGTCTCTTTTTCTCTGAGCTGCTGTAACTTTGGCTGCAGGTCTGTGTCTGGGCTGCGCTTTGCTCTTTTCGGTATTTCTGTATTGCTTTGCTGATAACCCACAGTCAGTCGCTGCCCCTTCCTTGCTCACTCTTGTCACCTGACAGGGCATCTGTCCCACTGTCTCCTCCTGCGGGAGCATCTTGGACTGTTCTTCACGTCCCTGTGCACGTCTGGGGTATTTTATATTCACTTCTGACGTGACACACAAAAACCTGCCTGTGAGAGTTGAGACTGAGTTGGGTGTGTAGTTCCTTCTGGGGTGGTGTCTTCTGAATAATGTTGAACCTTATAATTTGTGAGCATGGGCATAGCTGTTAGATCTTTTCAGGGATCTCTGTACAGGCCTTTTATCTTCCATATTCCTGGGTATTTTCTAGTTTTTCATGCTGTTGTCCATTGTACCCATTAAGTGATTTTTCTTTAGCCAAGTTCATACTAGTTTAGCACCATCTTAGGAGTGAGAACATGTGATATTTGACTTTCTGTGCCTGTCTTGTGCCTTGTCGTTTAAGATAGTGACCTGCGTCCATCCATGTTGCGGCTAAAGACCTGAGTTTATCCTTTCTGTGACTGCATAGTATTCCATGGTGTATACATACCAGATTTTCTCCATCTACTCTCTGTTGATGGCGACTTAGACATATTCCATTTCTTTGCTGTTGTGGATAGCATTGCAGTAAACATACAAATGCAGGACTCTTTTTGAAGGAGGTATATTTTCTTTCTTTTTTGGGCGGGGGAATGAGTCTCACTCTGCTGCCCAGGCTGGAGTGCAGTGGCACACTCACGGCCACCACAGCCTCGACCTGCTTGGCTCAGCAATCCTCCCACCTCAGCCTTCCAAGCAGTCGGAAGCACAGGCATGCACTACCATACCCGGCTGATTTTTTGATTTATTCATAGAGACGCGGTCTCTTCTGGTTGTCCGGGCTGGTGTCAAATCCCTGAACTCAGAAAATCCTCTGACCTCTGCCTCCCAAAGTGCTGGGATTACAGGCGGGACCCACTGCACCCGGCCAATATCATGGTTTGTTTTATTTTGAGTAGAGTTCCAGTAGTGGGATTGATGGATCAAATGGTCCTTCTGTTTTTTTACTTCTTTGAGAAATCTCCATGCTAATTTGTTTTCTTTTTTCTTTGTCGTTTAGTTAGAGTCTCACTATTGCCCAAGATGGGTACAGTGGCACGCTCATGGCCACCACAGCCTGGACCTGCTGGGCTCAGGCGATCCTTCTCCTCCGCCTTCCAAGTAGCTGGGACTACAGGCGCCGGCCACCACACCCAACTGATTTTTTATTTTTTTAGATTGTAGAGATGAGGTCTCGCCCAGTGCCCGGGCTGGTCTGGTACCCTTGGGCTCAGGCCGTCCTTTTTCCTTCTTCCCCCCAAATGCTGGGATGACAGTAGGCGTGAGCCACCGGGCCAGGCCTCCATGCTGTTTTCTCCAGAGGTGGGACTCATTTACGTTCCCGTCACCAGTGTGTAAACGTCCCCCTTTTTCTGCATCCTCACCAACACCTGTTCTTTTCTGTCTTTTTATGCTATTTTTAATATTCACCCAAGTTGCTGATCCAGGGATGGGCAGCTGAGGCCTGTGACTTACTTTTGTAAATCCTGTGAGCTAAGAATGTTTTTTACTTACCTTAGTAAAGGGATGTTTCGGCTGAGTGTGATGGTTCACGCCTGTAATCCGAGCACTTTGGGAGGCTGAGGAGGGAGGATGGCTTGTGCCCAGGAGTTCGAGGCCAGCCTGGGCAACGTAGCAAGGCCTTGTCTCTCCCAGCTGCTCCAGAGGCTGAGGCAGAAGGCTCGCCCGAGCCTCCGATGACGAGTCTGCGGTGAGCCATGAGCTTGCCACTGTACTCGATCCTGGGCAACAGTGAGACTCTAACTAAATGACAAAGAAGAAAGAAGAAAAAAGTAGCACAGAGGTTTCTCAAAGAAGTGCAAAAACAGAACGACCATTTGCTCCATCAATCCCTCAAGCCTGGGTGACCGTGAGACCCCTAGGCCCTTAAAGTCATATGCCACCCTCAGCCCTGCTCAGTGATGTTGGTCTCGGTCGTTGTCCTGGCTCCCTGTGCTCCGGGATGGGGCGGCCACTCAGTTCTGCGCTGCAGCACAGGGCTCCCACACGCCCCTATCGATACCGGGGAGAGTCGCTTGGAGCCTCTGCCGGGGTGGACTGTTGGGTCACAGGATGCACGTTTATAAAGGAGTTTCCTTACGTGGTGTCACTGTGGAGCCTACCCTTCCAGGGCAGCACCCGGGGGCACCTGGCCCACTCCCCCCGGCACCGCGTAGTGTCCAGTGCTCTGTCTTGGCAGACGAGATGGCTGGGAAGTGCCGCCTGGCATGTTTACTGGGGTGTCTCTGGCTCCCCCTGGTTTGTCTGGGGCCGTTGTCCCTTTGCCCGTTGCCGTGTCAGATCTCCTCTCTGTACATCGCCTGTTAGTAGCATCTGCCTGTGTTCCTCTTGGGGCTGCCTCCTCTTGTCAGTTTGCGGGGTCTTTGCATACTTTGGCCAGTGCATGCGCGTTGATGTGAACAGTACCGAGGTCTTCGGCCGTTCTGCCACCTCTCGACTTTCCCAAGTGCCTTTGGCCAAACCAGAACCTTTCCTTTAATACACCATCCTATGACTTGTGGCTGCCGGCTTGTGTTTCCACTTTTATTTCAGAAGGCATTCGATTGTTCCTCGTGTTTCTCTTTACTCTGTATTGCTCTCGTTCATGGATAGGTCTCGAATGTGCCAGAATCCAGCCGTCCATGGTGGCGAGATGGAATCATTTTTACCTTCTCTGTGTTCTGAGCCAGTCCTGCATTAGATGCAAGTGGGTTTGCCATGTGTGTGTGATATTCCAATAGTCCTTGCCAGGTTGCCATCGTGGCAAGAGCTGGAAGCCACCTATTGATGAATCTCTCCACTCCCTCAGTCGTGGGGCCGTCGGGACCAGACACAGTTGTTGGTCAGTAACTGTTGACTCACTATGTGCGCAGAGCGTGGGGGTCACTCATGAGAATCCACCAGAAGGCAGGATTCTTGTGGCAGGTTTAGTTTAGTTTAAAGCTGGGTGGCTCAGTCAGCCTGGGCTGCCATAACAGGAACACGACCAAGGGCTTAAACAACAGCCATTTGTTTCTCACAGTTCTGGAGGCTGAAGTGTGAAGTCAAGGGCAGAGTCGGTTTCTGGAGAGGGCCGTGTTCTTCCTGGCCAGCAGAGGGCGTCTCACTGTGTCCTCACATGGTGGGCGGATCTCATGACCCACTCACTTCCCTAAACCCGGTCTTCAAATAGCAGGCCCTCTCTATCTGGGAATTGGTGTTGAGGGTGGTGAAATCGTCATCTGAACTTATCGCCTGCAGATCTCTGGAGGTGGTTTATGTAACAAACTCAGACAACAGAGCGCTTATCCCTCTGTGGGTTTGTTCGGAGCTCTGGCCCCAGAGTGACCACACAGACACGGGATGTCGGCAGTTTTTCTGAGGCTTGGGATTGAGCAGGGTCCAGGAGAGACCCCAGGTTGGGAACTCAGCATAGAAGGAGTGGAAACCTGGAGGCTCCCGAGACCAGAGAAAATGGAGGAGAAAAGCCACAGGCATATCCTTCCTGTGGCTTGGGAGCATGATCTGTTCCAGTTTCTTGATGTAGGAGTGCGGGAAGCCCACTCTGGAAGTGACTGTATTTGTGTGAACCTGCATTGCTCTGACCTGCGGTGCCAAAGGCTACAGCTCACAACCACCAAGACAGTCCCATGCTCCCTCCCAGGCATTTGTGACTTAAAAGGCACCTCAGCTTTCTAAAGGGCTTCTTGATGAGCCCTCTCCTAGGTGGGCCGTCCATTTTGGCATCCTGGCCTGCCATGATGGCCTTGGCTCCTGGACATGGTGGCGGGGAGCAGCTGGCCTCAGTCTGAAGGACCACATGGGGAATGGTCCCCGGGTTGCAGCCTAGGCGGCGAGCAGGTGGGGCTGCCTTATCATGCGGGCGGGGATATTGTACGTGGGCCGGACGTGGACCTCCTGACCTTCATGTGCTTCTCCTCGCGCAGCAAGTGAGTGTGAAACATCGGCCATGCTGCCGCTGGAGTGCCAGTACTTGAACAAGAACGCCCTGACGACCCTGGGGGGACCCCTCACTCCCCCAGTGAAGCATTTTCAGCTAAAGCGGAAGCCCAAGAGCGCCACTCTGCGGGCAGAGCTGCTGCAGAAATGTGAGTGAGGGTGGCCCAGGGTTCCATTCCTTCCATGCTGAGGTCCGAGGCTCTTTTCACAAAATGGTCAGAGTACTGCAAAAGTCTCTTGTCGTAAACCAAGGGATCACCTGCTAAACTGTGGTGTCTGAACACATGCCTTAGAAGGTTCAGAATGTCCGGGTCAGGGTCTGGGGTCCCCGTTGCACAAATGAGTCGGTCCCAGCTGGGCCGTGTGGACGTGCTCATCGGGCGACATGTGAGAGACTGGACTAGGCCCTGGCCCTCGTGCCTCTGCCTTCTCGACTTGCCAGTGACCTCAGCCTTCCCTTCAAGACACCGCATCCTTTCATTCACTCTTCCCCAACACTGTCTCAGAAACCGGCTTCAGTAAGTCTGATTTTGAATGGTTCTGAAATGAACATTCATAACATCTGTTAGTACGCTGTGTTTAGGAAATCCGAGTAACGTTCACAGCAGCTGCCGGGGCTCCAGGCCAGAAGGCTGCTGCAGGGCCCAGCCCTGTCCGAGTGGCTAGGCGCAGCTGTAAGGACCACTGGCAGGGAATAAAGCTCTCTGCCGGCCCCTCGGGCTCCGGCCCTGTCCCCTCCTGAGGTCAGCAGTCACACATGGCCTCTTGTGGCCCAACCTGGCACCAGCCTCTACCCTGGGCACGTGGTCTCCTCTGCCCCTCCGGCCTTCCTGAACCAGGTCAGGACGATCTCTTTTCATGTTTCCTCTGACATCTGTGCAGATTTGTGCATCTGGACGGGGAAACCCTAGACAGTGCCTGCTGGCCCTTTGAGAGGGCCTGAAGCCCAGAACCTGAGGGTCCCTATGCCGCCCATGGAGATGTGAAAACCGCCAGGGGATCTTTCCCTTGTCCTCTGCCCCTCTGTCCGTCTCCTGGGAGGTGCAGCCCTGGTCACGCAGTTCACGGCCCCATCCCGTGAAGGAGGTTTTGACATAGAAAATCTACTCGTGGTACTCAGATCGTGTTAGGCCTCTCAGAGAACAGACGAGTGTGTATTTCGAAAAGAAAGAATGTGATGAAAACTCCACACTCCTACGTTCCGTCCCTCAGGGTCACCGAGGCATGACTTCCAGGGGTGAGGGAGAGCGCTGTTCCTGTGAGGGGCCTGATGCGCCTTTTCCGTTACAGCCACGGAGACTGCCCAGCAGCTGAAGCGCAGTACGGGGGTGCCCTTCCACGCCAAGGGCCGCGGGCTGTTGCGGAAGATGGACACCACAAGTAAGGCCCCGCTGTGCTGTGAGCTGCCGTGAGCTCAGACTTGGGGCGCGACACCCAGCGCCGTGAGACGCGCGTGTGTGTCGGAGCACGTCCTTGCTCGTCACGGCCGAGGGCTCGGCGTGAAAGGCATCCCTTCTCCGTGGGAAAGCCGTGTCAGAGCGGAAGAGTCGGGCGACAGCCCTGGTGCGCTCGGGGTCCCCTCACTGGCTCTCCGCATGAGGAGGGACCGGGAGGAGGGTGAAGCTGAGGCTGGGGAAGCCCAGGTTTGGGTCCAACACTTGCTTGTGCTGCTGTGCTGAGTGCGGCACGGGCGGTGTGGCTGCGCGTGGGGACTGCGGGCGGCCTGTATCTGTGGCTGCTCCCGGCCTTCCCGACTCGGGCCCGCCGGCCTCAGTGCTGCTCATGAGATGGCGTTTCCCGGGGCACAGAGGACCTGGAGATGGCAGACGCAGCCTGTGTGTGGGCCGCAGGCTGAATCGGGAGGAAGTGTGTGGTGTAGACAGCGGTCCCGAGTCCTGCGCTGAGACGCCTGGGCCGGGATCTGTCCATCCTGATTCTGCATTGTCCTCGGGCTCAGTCACGAATTTAAGTAGAATGAATACTTGTAACAAGGAAATGGGGTGCCACTGGGTACCGTGGCAGGGGACACACCTCCAGAAGGCACCGGACACGGCCTGGGGATCAGAGTGCAGGGCCGGCGCCTGCCGTACCTGGCAGGAGAGGAGGGAGGCCCGCTTCTGGAGAGGGTGTCAGTCCTTGAGCCGACACTGGCGGTGCGGCTCTGGGTGCGCTTTGCCTGGGGCTGACACAAGAGGCCTGACGCTGCCCGGAGGGCGTGGGCAGGCACTGGGGCGCCACACGTAGGCCTCGGAGTCTTCGATGGACTTGAGGATGGGGCATGGGGGAGGAGAGGCCGTCCTCGAGCACGCGGACGGCTGTGCAGAGAGGCTGAGACCACCCCGCTCGATGGCTTTTGCCTCCAGATCACGAGGCTGGTGCGTGACGCTGCCGTGTGCAGTGTTCTTGGCGGAGAGAGGAGGTCTCGCTCCCCTGGGCAGGTCGACGGGTTGCCCTCCCGCGGCCACAAGGAGAAGGCCCGCCCGCACTCCCTGAGCTCTGGGGGCCCAGGCGTCCTGCCAGCTGTTCCCCGCCCTCATGTGGACACAGCAGGGCGGTGCCGCGGACTCTTGGGACTAGAGGGAGGGGCCTCCCGGGGCCGTGGCCGCTGGGCCTGAGGATGCTGTCCGCTCTCCAGCCCCGCTCAAGGGCATCCCCAAGCAGGCGCCCTTCCGGAGCCCCACAACGCCCAGCGTCTTCAGCCCTGCCGGGAACAGGACCCCCATCCCGCCGTCGAGGACACCGCTACGGAAAGAGAGGGGCGTGAAGGTGGGCCTGTCCCCTGGCTCCTGTGACGCCCCAGCTGCGCCTCCCCTCTCCCCACTGTACTAACTGGCGCTGTGTGTGTCTTGGCAGCTGCTCGACATCTCTGAGCTGGACATGGTGGGCGCTGGCCGCGAGGCAAAGAGACGAAGAAAGACCCTCGGTGTGTGTCAGGCCTGCCTGGTGGGGGTGCTTTGCAGGGAGCGGGGCCCTGCCAGGGTGTGTTGTGATCAGAGTTGCTGGGTAACCCCGAGTGAGGGCCACGCTCCCTGAGGTTCCTCCTGCTGGACTGGCAGATGCCTGTGTTTCTTGTCCCGCGCATGGCGGCGTATTCCCCAGGGGACAGTTTTCTTCTTTGCCGGGAGACCATTGAAGCCGCCGTCATGAGCTGAGCGTGCGCAGGCGACATGCGTGCCGCGGGCCTGGCCGTAGGCCTCCAGGGTCACTAATAAGGACTCTTGCAACACCCGCAGATGCGGAAGTAGTGGAAAAGCCCGCCAAGGAAGAGACTGTCGTGGAAAACACCACCCCCGACTACGCGGCCGGCCTGGTGTCTACACAGGTAGGCGCGGGGCTGCCCGTGTCTGCCCAAGGCCCACAGCAGCACAGCGTGTGCTCCCTCACGTTCCGGTGCTGGCTGCCAGCGTGTGTTCTGGTAGAGAATGAATATGTAATGTATGCATAGATACACACACACAAACACACGTACACAAATAGGTATGTACACGTGTGTGGTACGTGTGTGTAAATGTGGGTATGAGAGGCAGCATGAGCCATGGGGCACTGGCGTGGGCCTGACTTGGGCGTGGAGCGAGCACTTGCCCCGTGCTCTCTGGAAGGCTGCCTGGGGGTCCCCGCACGCGCCACGGTTTTCGCTCTGTCACGCAGAGGTGGGTGGCCATGAGCCCACGAGGGCCTGTCGTGGTGCCGGTGCCCTCGCGGGGCAGCGAGGAGGTGGCTGGCCGTGTTTCCAGAGCTCAGCGAGGACGGGTGACCAGGTGCAGACACGGATGGGTCTTCTGTTGTCAGGGCCTGGAGGGCGCCACGCTGCCAGAAGAGTTTCTTTCCTCCTGTTGCTTGCCGTTTTCTGACTTTCTTAGAACGAGCCTGTCTTCCTTGTCAGTGTGCTGTTGTGCTAAGAAAAGCACCCTTAAGCCTCCTGCCTCCCTCCACGGAGGCCGGTTGGAGAGGCTCCCCAGCCGCCTCCCTCTCCTCACTCAGGAGCCGCTCGGGCCCCTCCTGCTGGAGTGGCTCCAGGCGTCAGGGAGCTGGGGTGGAGAGCCAGGTCTGGCGTCAGTCCCGTCGTCCACCCCGGGAGGAACAGCCTGATTCCTGGGCCCTGAAGGAGTCGGCTCAGCCTGAGGCGGGTGGAACCTGCGCCCTAAAAGCCCGGTCTTCTGGAGGGTCCCCAACTGTCTTCCAGAAACTCGGGTCCCTGAACAACGAGCCCGCGCTGCCCTCCACGAGCTACCTGCCCTCCACACCCAGCGTGGTGCCTGCCTCCTCCTACATCCCCAGCTCCGAGACGCCCCCAGGTGAGCGGAGGGAGGGATCTGCCGCCTCGGCTCGCCCAGGTGGGCGGCGTGCCGGGTCCGCCGCGCCCCCTCGCCGCTGCTCACAAGTCTCCAGGGCACAGAGCCAGGAAGCCTCGGGGACGCTGCTGGCCTGAGCCTTCAAGCGTGTCCACCCAGGAGGTGACCTTGCCCTCGCGGTGCTGCGAGGGACCCGTGGTCCTCGCTGTGTCTTCAGGACCAGGACATGGGTTGTCTGCTGGAAGAGGCGGGTAGGGCGGGTAGTCCTGCTCGCTGGCACCAACCTCAGGAACCCAACATGAGTTGAGCCGGCTTTTCCCTTCTGGGGGCAACAGGCAGCTGCCTGTTGTGGGGCTTGATGGGAGAAACGACTTGGTTTGTGAGGACTGTTCTGTCCAGTCTGCCCAGATAATCCAGGGAGGGAGCCGAGGGGCATCATTTCACAGAGAGGGTGCCACTGAGGCTCCCCCCCAGAATTTTGGAAAGAAAATTCCTGAGCAAAAGTTAGAGGTGTGCTAGTGAATGCTGCATGTAGGCATTTGCCTCACTGAGCTGTGCTCTACCTGCCAGGAGAGTGGTGGACAAGGGCTGGGTCACCTTGGCGTCAGGAGCCTCACTGGGCCCCAGAGTGCCCGGGGCTCCAGAAAGCGTCTATCTCTGTCTGCTCACCAGTGCCTGGGCTGTGGACACCTGTCCCCAGTCCAGGAGCTGCCCAGAGGCCATGTATCTTTCTGAGGGTCTGGAAGGGCCCGGGAACCACCCTCTCTGTCCCTCTGACTGGGCTCTTGGGACTGGTGCCCTGGCTGAGCCAGGGAGAACTTCTCACGCAAGGGGTCAGACCGGGCCCCTGGGCAGGGCGGGTCAGCAACTGGGCCAGGGAACGGAGCTGAGCCCGCAGCTCCAGGAGCCTCTGGGTCCGGAAGCAGACCTGGGTGCAGAGGATGGGGGCCTAGCCTTCATCAGGCCCACTCCGCCTGCAGCTCCGTCTTCTCGAGAAGCCAGCCTGCAGGCCAGCCGGCCACCTGAGGAGCCCAGCACCCCGAGCCCCACGCTGCCAGCTCAGTTCAAGCAGAGGACACCCATGTACAACAGCGGCCTGAGCCCGGCTGCACCCACACCCGCAGCGCCCACCTCGCCTCTGACGCCCACCACGCCCCCGGCTGTCGCCCCTGCCGCCCAGACGCCCCCGGTGGCCATGGTGGCCCCACAGACGCAGCCCCCTGTCCAGCAGCAGCCTAAGAAGAACCTGTCCCTCACGGTAGGTGTGCCTGGGTGGGTCACAAGCCCCCAGCTAGGTGGTGCGGCCTTGGCGGGTGGCCTGACCCGGGGTGGGGGTGCCTGGAGGAGGAAGCAGGAGGCGGCCCTGTTGGTGACTAGGCGCCCACATTCCCTTCTCGCTTGCAGAGAAAGCAGATGTTTGCCGCACAGGAGATGTTCAAGACGGCCAACAAGGTCACGCGGCCCGAGAAAGCCCTCATCCTGGGCTTCATGGCCGGTTCCCGAGGTGTGTCCGTGGGCTGGGCCAGGGCGGTGCCTCGGGCGGTGGGGCCGGGCCCCTTGTCCCCAGGCGCCCACCCAGCAGCCTCTGCTTCCCGCAGAGAACCCATGCCAGGAGCAGGGCGACGTGATCCAGATCAAGCTCAGCGAGCACACGGAGGACCTGCCCAAGGCGGACGGCCAAGGCAGCACCACCATGCTGGTGGACACAGTGTTCGAGATGAACTACGCCACGGGCCAGTGGACGCGCTTCAAGAAGTACAAGCCCATGACCAACGCGTCCTAGGGCCGCCGCCCCCGCCTCCGCGAGCTCCCGGGGATGAGAGCTCTGCCGCCCGAGCAGGCCCCGGAGGACACCCCGCCCCTCCTTGCCGCGGAGCTCCAGCCGGTTTACGTTTAGGTCGTTTCTCCGGGGTGTCTGGGGGCTTCTTTCTTACATCTTAACATGGGTTCCTCTTGTGTGATTTAAGACCGCTTTGTGGATTCACGGTTCCATTTCGGAATGTTGAAGTTAGCCAAAAAAGTTGTAACTCCCTAATGTTAGCGACAGCTCTGCCTGTTAGACTTTTACCTGAGTTAATTTTTTCTAAAATTCCGCTGACCGCGATGAGGACTCTTCCTTGCTAGTGCAACACCCTGCCAGGTCGAGGCTGAGGGGACCAAAGGTGGCGCCAGCCATGCAGGGGACAGGACGGGGGACACAGGCCTCGTCCACTGCCAGCGCCTGCCTGGACTTTTATATTTGTCTTCAGTACAGCGTGGACACTTGAGACAGTCTTTGGTACCTATTTTCACTGTAAAACTGTCTGGATGATTAAAGGTTAGCTTTTCTACAGAAAGCCTCCGTAGCTGTGTTTTGGCCAGCTCAACCTCCCTGCTCCAGGAGTGCTGTTCCTTCCAGCTCCCAGGTTGCTGTCAGGATGGGGGCTGTGGAGGGGAAGTTGTCAAGGACCTCAGGCCGGCAGCGTGGGATCAGCGCAAGGGGAACTGCACACATGGCTGAGGGCTACTCAGCCAGAAGGTCATCGGATCCTCCTTTCTTGACCATGCTGCCTTTTTAACTCCTAATGAAAAAAGGCATTTTTCCAGCATCCATTCCCCCTACTAGCCCAGCATTTCTCATGCTTCCCAGGGTGGACTGCTCTAGCCCCTCCCCACAGATGGAGGCGAATACCACTCCCCCGTGAGAAGTCAGAACTGGGCCAGGTAGGTAGTTGCCTTGACATTTAAGTCACTGAAAAAAACGGAGAAAAATTCAGAACACGGTCCCATAAAATAAGTTAAGAAAAAAGCCTTTAAAATGTTTTTAATACAAAAATACTCATACACAATTTTCCAAACACAACTTTCCACTTTAAATGCTATTTACCCCCAACTGGCAAGTCTCAAATCCAGATTTCAGCATACTTCCCCGAATTTCAAGTTTTTAAGTCTAACTATCAACCCTGGCGATAGCACCCAGTATTCCTAAGAGGAATCTGACTTTGTATTGTATGATGTTTTGACACCATTAGGCACATTTAAATGTGTATGTAATTTCTGACAGGGCATTTCACATCTCAACAGCGTACGGTGACACCATGACACCCAATGGGCACAGTGTTTCTCCTCTAGTGACTTAACCATCAACAGCTGCACGCATAGGATCCAGAGATTTGGCAACTGACAGTCATTTGTATAACTTTAGTTAGACCAGGCTTAATTCTCGAGAATAAGGTAGTTCTGGGAGTGGGTACTGTACACATACCAGTTTACGTGCCCAGTAAATGCTTGGAAGGTGTCAGAAGCACAAACCTGAGTGTGTGCCGGACGGGCGTCGCTGGGGCGCAGAGAGCTATCCTCTGAGGATAGACAGCTGGGTTCTCAGCACTTCAGGTGTCAGATGAGTTTCCCCGCAGATGACCACATGTTACAACTGCCTGGCGGGACACATCCCTGTGATGCCACATGTGCACGCAGGTGCAGGTTTAGGTGCAGATCCTGGAAGGTTTCTGACAACAAGGGGTCCTGAGGTGTTTGGACAGTTGTCGTTTCTTTTGCTTCACATTCATGACAAAGGACCGAAGCGGATGTTCAGAAAGTCACCGAGTCCAAGAACAGATCTCCCCCGAGTCTGAGAGCAAAGCTAGGTAGGTCCCCACACCAGCTGTGGTCATGACTGTGTGCCCACTGCACCCCAGTGGTGGTAAGCCCTTCCAGGCCAGGCCGCTGCCCCAAAGCCTTGTTTTCCGCTGATTTATTACTGGTATTCTAAGGGTATTCAAAGTTAGTGTTATCTGCTCATTAGTTTAACAGTTTTTGGCAAGGGAGAGGAAGCATATTTAAGATTTTTGCAGTATTTCCTTCAGAAAGATCATAGTCTGGAAGTAATATCAAAGTGACTCAAAACTCTTAAAATTTTCCTACCATCAAAGATAAAAATAAGTTAATCTGCTTCCCAAAGTGCACTGTAAAACCCACCTGATGTTTTGAATTACGCAGAAGTCCCTTAGCTGGTAGGAAAGGATTCTACAGGCAAGTGACAGCTTCAGCCCGCCGCCGGTCAGTGGGGCCCCAAGGCCTTGAACTCCAAGTGCCAGGGCCAGGTGCATGAATGGACACGGCCTTCCGAGTGTAGCATTAGCAGAGTAAATCTCTGAACTGATCTGAAGACACCTGGAGAGGAGATAGGGCTCTCAGCTTACGAGCACGTCCCATGCCCGTTCCATAGAGTAGGGCTCAGCCTGTATGTGAAAGTCGCCGACTGCAGAGCCCTTTCCTTTGGGGCCTTTGTCGGACACTTTGTTAGGGACCCGACGGTAGAGGGGCCGGCCACCAGCCAGTGAAACTTCCTCCGGTCGGTGTTCGGGGAGACAAGGGACCTGCAGGACTTCTCATCTGAAGCCCAAGCTTGCGGGTCTCACAACATGGAGCAGTCAGTCTTAGGCCCAAGGACTCTGCCATTTGACAGGGAGAAAAAAGGTACGAAAGAATTGACGGGGAGACCTCAGTAGCAGTTTTTCAAGAAGAGTTCTTTAAACTTTTTCCAAAAGGATGTTCTCCTTGGGTGATGTTTTTTAAAAGCCAGCAAAAAAGCACCTGCTGCTGCATGTTCTTTCTCTCCCACCCCACCCCACCCCCACGCAGCCCCTCAGAGCATGCGGCACCCGGTGGGACGGGGCACACAGGGCCTCCCCTTTCTCAGCCTGCGCCCCACTTCCCAGGGTCAAGAGGATCCCCCAGAAAAGAAGAGTCAAGGCATCCGAGGAACACAGTACTTGGATATTTCTCACTCTGTAAGGCTGGACCTTTTGGAACAAAAGATTCTTGATGTCTCACAGGGAATTGGGTGCCAGACCTGGCCTAAACCAGTGCCTGTGCACACGGGTGCAGGACGTGGCGGGCAGGCTCACGCTGGGACGTGTGTGTCTCAGCTGGTGTCATGGCACAGAGCTGCAGTTGGCACATCCATGTTCTCCACGCAGAGGCCCACGGAGTGCTGAGACGGAAGGCGCGTGGGATGGCAAGAGCTCTGAACGCTGGGTCTCTCCTCAGCCTGTGTGCTATGTCCCTGGGCCCATTGCCCGAAGTGCCCTCCGGGATCCCCTGAAGGGGCACTCCCAGTGCTTAAACAGACCGTGCCGGTGTGCCCCTACCGAGATCGTGTTTTGGTCACAGAACTCAGGCTCGCATCAGTAAATAGACATTTCAGTCGGTGGTGATTGTGAAATAGGTTTAGCAGAAATCTATTGAGAATAAAAGCCAGAAACTGGTCAAGAAAAGCCCAGTGAAAAAACTATACAACATTTCCCCACATGTCGAGCAGAACCTAGTGAGCTGGGAAGACAGGCCCAGGGAGCAGAGGCCCTGCCTGGCCGCCGACGGCTGCACCATGTGACCTGTGCGCTGAGTGCACGTGTTGGCATTCAGTTCGATTCCGTGGAGATAAACACGGGAGGGAACCAGACAGCACTGTCACTGTCAACACTGGCAGGGCCAGCTCTTCATTAGGATGGAAAAGAGCATTCTGAGGAAAAATTCACATTAGTTTAAAAAAAACAAAAAGAAAAATCATAACAGCTTGTTTAAAGAGCAAAATAATGATAAAATGATGGTTTCCAGGAATCCAGGGTCCGGGTGCGTGCACCGGCCCCTCCCTGGTCTCTCCTGAGTGACGGCAGTGCTGTGAGCAGGAGCGGAGGAACGGGACGCTCAGGGAACGGTGCTGACCCCTTAGATCAAACGCTACTCTCTACACTTCCGACGAGATACAAACGTTCCACACGCCAACCCACTGCCAGTCATAACTTCAACCTAAGACAGCGCGGGAGGGAGCCTGGACCTTGTGAGGCGTTCAAGTTTCGCGGTAATGCTGTGGCGTGAGGCCTGTGTGTCCTGGACGCCGAGCCGGGCTCGGGCGTGGTCAGTGCAGGGCAGCGGTGCTGCCAAGGATGGCTCAGTGGTGGGAGGCGCTCCCTCCCGAGGAGGCCTGTCCGTCTGTCCTGGCGGCCGGAGCTGGGGCCCCCGGCCTGTCCTCGCGCGCCCTCTCCCCCAGGCAGGGCTGGCCGCCCTGTGCCGCCCTTGGATCTGGCCAAGCTGCCCCCTGGCGCTATTTGCCTTCCGTGACTCTCCGCCAGCACCGCCTCTTCCGCCTCTTCCCCTTTGCCTTCCCGGGCTCGGGGAAGGGCGTCTCAGTCTTGGCACTTCTGACCGACGCTGGCCCCAAGTCATGCTCACAGCAGTAGGACTGCCCGTCCTGGGTGCAGCGGAAGGCTGTCCCGTCCTGATGCTCCTTACAGAACGAGTTGGGGCACAGGTGACAAAACGAAGTGGAAGGTTTGCCACACACGTCACAGTGATGCCAAGGACACTCCCACTTCCCTGCAACAGAACACCGGACATGAGCAGTTAACACACGACGGAATCACAACTTCCACACCGCCAGGGTTGAAGCTGCTCTTAAAACCATCGCGTCCAACGAATGCAAGTTACAAGAGTGCTGGTGGCGCAGCGAGCGGGACGTGTGACAGGCCATCCCCACCGCTGCCCCAGCAGAAACGCGGGCCCCAGCGGTGCCTGCCCACCCCGCAGTGCCCGCCAGGCCTCCGCATGCCAACTGTCAGCCACTCTTTATGCGTAGCAATCAAAGAGACGCTGGACTGGGTGCAGGAGTGCCCTCCCACGTGAATGACAGGCTCGGGGTCCGCTCTGCTCCGAGTCCTGCCCGTGGGAGGCCTACCCTGTGCATGTCCGGCTCTGGCTTTCCCTCTGTGCCCTGCCTGCTGCTGAGGAACCGATTTTCTACTTGGGGATGGACCTTTCTGGAATGAATCTGTAAAAGGCTTTTAGGGGAGGAAGAACTCTCACATCCACCACAAATATTTTTCTGTGTCATCTGCCTTTTGACCTTGGTTTGTCAACTTTCGTCATACAAAATATGTATTTTTGCTTCTTGTCTTTGGGTGAAGGTCTTTTCACTTGTCTCTTGGGATTACAGTCCTACCCCTAGTGACATTTTGCCAACGACAAAATGCATACCCGCCGGCGGTCCCATGGGAGTACCATGGCAGGGGCCCCACAGCCAGGCCTGTGGAGGTGTACTCTTGACGGTCACTCAGTGCCAGAGTCACCTGACAGCACACTACTCAGCACACGTCCTGGTCACGAAACGACATGTGGTAGGTATGTAGGGCTACTGTTTCACGCTGGTGCTGTGATCTCTGAAACACGGGGTGGAAGAAGCAACTCCCTTTTGCTTCAGGGAACCAGATATACAGCTCATCGTCAGCCAGTGGCTCCTCCTTCTGCCCCCAGGGTCCTCTCTGGGGACAGCATGACCCCTGCTTCCTGGGTGAGGGCT